CCCCTCAGGTTCTTATTCTTAATGGGAGAGCCCTAAAAGGGAAAGGACTAGGTTCAGATAGGAAGTTATAAACATTCATGATATAGATCGCCTAATTACTTACAGGAAAGGTAATTTATAGTCCTGTAGCAACATACGATTATCCCAAATTTATCATTCTCTTGCTAACACTGAATTTTTTAAAAAATCCTTTCAGTTTGATCAGTAAAAATAGAATGATTTGCCTTGATTTGCCCTTCTCTGGTTAGTAGTGAGATTATACATTCACCACTCTCCCCTCCTCACCTTAGCCTCCTAATTCTTTTACTTCAGAATATTCCTTTTCAGTCTCCTTCTCAGGCTTTTCTTTTTTCTATTCCACAGTGTTTTGTCCTCAGCCCTTTGAATGTCCCACAGGCAGATCAAACTCAGTATGTCCAAAATTAAACTCATCCTAAGATTACTTCAGTTTTTGGCTAATGACATCATCAACTAACTACCCAGGCACCCCAGTCAGAGACCTGAGTCTTTTAAGATGACTCCCTCCTCTCATCCCCATGTCAGTCACTAAGTTTTTCCAACCCACATCTTAAATCTCTCAAATATGTCCACACCTCTCTATCTCCACAGCCATTGCTCTCGTTCAAGCCTTGGTTACTGTAATACTCATCACTGGTCTTCCTGCCTTGTCACCTGCTCCCTTCCATTCTACATACTGCATCCAGAGTGATCTTTCTAAAGTGCAAATCTGATTGTGTTACTCCCTGGACTCTACATCCCCATCCAACTTTATCCCGTGTCCTTACCATCTGTTCCCTTCCCTCCAGCCATATGGAACAACCAGAATTTCCCATTGCCTCTCAACTCTTTCTGCCAAGAGTATGCCTCTTCTTTTGCCTTGTGAACTCCCACTAATCCTAAAATAGTACAGGAGCCTATCCAATTATCTTCCCATTATTTCCCTTTCCTTTATGCACTGACTACACTTTATACAGAACCTTATTATGACATTTAACATTACAATTTCATAATTTTTGTTCAATCTCTCCCTCACTAAACTGAGATGCTCTAGGACAGATACTATGCTATTCATCTTTTTATCCTCAGCACTAGCATAGTTCTCGGAATATCATAGGCCCTCAAATATGTGTGGAATAAATGCTATTTTTGATAGCAATTATAAAATTCCTTTCCATCTTCTCCCACCATCTTAATTATTTATCAAGTTCTATAGCCACAATCTGTAATGTCTTTGTTACCAAATCCTCCTCCGTCCCCCAATTCTAAGGTTGACAAAACTATTTTAATTGCAACCTGGGATTTGGGCACTTCTCCAAACCAGGCCGTCTTCACTAGTGCTGACAGTTATCTTCCTGAAACACACCTGGCTTTGTTGCCTAACTCCTTAAAAAACAACGTTGATAACTACCCATTGTGATTGTAGGTGGTTATTTCCTCAAAACATGGAAAGCTTTTCTATTTAGAGTCAAAAATAAATAAAACAGGGTGCCTGGGTGGCTCAGTGGTTAAGTGTCTGACTCTTGATTTCAGTTCAGGTCATGATTTCACTCTTCATGCGTTAGAGCCCCACATCTGGATCCAAGCTGACAGTCCTGAGCCTGGTTGGGATTCTCTCTTTCTCTGTCTCTCTCTCTCTCAAATAAACTTGAAGGAAAAAAAAAAAGAAATCGTTGTTATAAAAATAAGTAAATAAAGGAATGCACCATGGAAGGAGACATAATGTCTATTAAATCCAGGGTTTGGACTAATCAAACACAATAGCATAGTTTTTTAATAACTTTAAGAATCTAACTCCAGCTCAGCCTTTCCTGCCACTCTTCCTCCCCATTCTCAACACACATCATGGTCACCATTCCTTAATGCACTGTTGTGTCCAGAATGCCCTATCACCAAGCAAATTCTTACTCATCCTTGAAAGCCAGCATCTGGTTACTTGATTGCTCCAAGAGATGGTATAAAGGGGCTTTAAATTGTTTACATAATCTTTACCAGTCCTCCAAAGCAAGCCAAATCAAAATAAAAATAAGATTTTCTTTTTTTTGGCATGGACAATTGGGACTTTTTGCAATTTCCAACTATGTACAAAGGCATCCTTTAAGAACATACCTATTTTTATCAATATATAACATACAATCTCAGTACAAGCGAAGTACTTTCTATACAAGTGCAGCTTCAAGCTAAGTCCCCTGGCCTACACTTCCAACTAGATTGCAGTCACTAAGCCCTTTATAGAAATTCTGAAGGAGTCACGGAATATTAGTTGCTCTAAGAAGCTTTCTCTAATCTCTTCCTCACAAGCTGTTGTGTTCATGGCTTCTCCCTCTAGGCTCACACAACTCTGACCATATACAACTGTTATCTTACCAAACAATAGTATAGTGTATTATTTCTCTTTTAGTTTCTTCCATTAGGGTAGTTAATCCAGAGTAAGGACTCTATATCAGTTTCTTCATGTGAAAAATAAAGATGATAAGACAAATCTCATAGAACTGCTGTGAGAATTAAATGTGTTAGTGCATATTTAAAACACTTAGCACGATATCTAACATATAATAGGAGCTAAATAAATGTTAGCATCATTTTTTGCTTTGTGTTTGTTAAATCATGAAGTACTAGCCCGAAGAGTCCCACAGTAAACAGACTGGTAGAGATATCATACACAAAAGAGCATGATAAGAAAACACACATGTCCTGAAATTACCTAAGAGGTCATTACTTAAGCAAAATGCCTTCCCTATTACCTATCTGCATATGTGACATGAAATTGAATGGCTTTTTAATGTCTAGTAGTTTAAGAACAAAGTTTAAAGACCTTATAACTGAGAAAGAAGTTTCATTTATAAATTGTTGAACTTCCAAGGCATTTATTAAAAATAACACATAAAAGTAATTTCTCATTTGGAGAAAAGGAAAATAACAATGTTTTGGGAATCTGCATGGTTTCTGACTCTATCATACATTACTTCTTTATATTACAAACTACGTATAGATATACATCCTCTCAGGTTTTATGATAAAAATCAAATGACTATGTTGTGTGGCAGAAATAACATCAAATTAAAATTAAGGAATATTAGATTGTAGCCACAAATTAGCTGTGGGACCTTGGGCAATCTTTTAATTCCTCTGGACTTCAGAGTCCTTTTTTGAATCTGAAGGGATTAGACTAATCTCTAAATTCTCATCCAGCTTGAAAATACAACGTTCTTATAATACTACTATATTTTAACCTTTCTCTTACATGGTTTTTCTCCTCACTAGAAACTGAACTCTCTTTTTTTTGGGTGGGGAGCAGGAATCGAACCCTATTTATCTTTGTACCTCAGTGCATAGAACCAATGCCTATTTCTTGACTGTTGGAATGAATGAGTGCCTCCTGCAGAACTTGTAGTTTAAAAAGGCATAGCAAATTTATGGTATAACAGGTTAGTGGCTGTTAACATAATCATGTTATTATATAAGAATAACAAATGACTGTGCATTCATATGATTGTTGATATTCAATACATTCACTCTCTGTTTAATAATTTGTTGAAAACCATTATTTAGAAAAGGAATTAGAAACAAAAACTAAGTTTTTCCTACTTTTGACATATTATAGAGAAATTATGAGTTAGTTACATAGCTTTGAGAGAAGTTAACTCTACTAAATTTCATCATCCTAAAGGCAGTGTCTACTAATATCAAGTAGGTATCCAAGTGTTCATTCTCCAGTACCATTTTGTAGAAGATATTTTTATCTTTGTCTTGCTACCAGAATTACAGACTGAAAGACAATCTAATCAAGGAAGAATCTAGAATATATAGACATGTGGAGAAAACATACATGCGTGTATGTGCCCATATACACACACATGCAGTTTAACTCAGTACTCAATTGCCTCGTGTACCTGTTTTTTTTTTAAGTTTATTTATTTATTAAAAAAATTTTTTTTTAACGTTTATTTATTTTTGAGACAGAGAGAGACAGAGCATGAACGGGGGAGGGTCAGAGAGAGGGAGACACAGAATCTGAAACAGGCTCCAGGCTCTGAGCTGTCAGCACAGAGCCCGACACGGGGCTCGAACTCACGGACCGCGAGATCATGACCTGAGCCGAAGTCGGCCGCTTAACCAACTGAGCCACCCAGGCGCCCTTAAGTTTATTTATTTTGAGAGAGAAGAGAGAGACAGAGTGGGGGAGGGGCAGAGAGGGAGAGACAGAATCCCAAGCAGGCTCTTCACTCATGCACAGATCCCAACAAAGGCCTCACAAACTGTGAGATCATGACCTGAGCTGAAATCAAGAGTCGGACACTAAACCGACTGAGCCAAGCAGGCGTCCCCCTCATGTACCCATTTTAAAATTAATATTTAGTGCACGTTTATTGCTGGGACAGTCCCAAAATATCTCTAAGTGGAATGGAAAATGAAGAGCGATTAACTATAAAGAAAGTCTATCTAGGTAAAACAAATGGACAGTTTTCCCACATCTTTTGAACGAGGGCAGATATCTCTTTTTGGATATACCTCAAAAAGAGTTACAAGGGATTCCATTTCTCGGTTTTAGTAACAATGTGATTGAAATTTGAGGTACATGTACTTCACAATTTCCTGGATCTGCACTGTTGGGAAAATGAAGGGTTTTTCTAATATTCACCCGTCAGGGTCAATCACACAAACCTGAGTTTGAATGTTACTCACTGATTAACTCTACATAAATTGAACACAAGCACAATAGGTTTTTTATTGTTAAATTACTGTTACCATATGCAGAGCAAAAAGTAAATGGACTGATCTACTTGTGCATTCACATTTTAAATTCTTGAATTATAAACAAGTGAACAAATGATCAGTTAGGAAAGGACAACTGAAGGGCTCGTTGTAAGTCCACTAATTTCTCTAATAATTAATAAAACATGCTCAAAAATTTTAGAAAACCATCTTTTTTCTACATGTGATATCATATTAATAAACAAACTATGTTACCTTAATAAATTAGAAAGACTCCTTCATTATTAAGGACAGTCTATCTCTGGCTAATGCAATTATTATTAGGATATAAGCATCAAAAATAAAGGGGGGGCATTGTTAAAAATTTTCCAAAGTGTTAATACTCTTAATGCTGAGTTTCCAGTTCTAGAATTGTCCATTCCCCTTGGGGTGAACAATCTTCAGAGGAAAAACTAGCCATGGTGATACTTGCTGAGGAATCAAGTGGAGAGGTTAGTTCACTCCATCTGTTCAAAGTGTCAACATGTGCTTTACCCTGAGGTTTTGAGCTGTCTCGTGCTAAAAGTAATGTCTGATTGATTAGATACTGTGCTAAATTTAAGTCTTCAGGAACAGAATTCGTAATATTTAAGTTTGAATCCTGTTCAGACAGCAGTTGCTTTAAGAGTGTCCAATCTTGTTCTGCAAAGTGCTGATCATCTTCAAAATCCATGTCTGTAACATGTGTTTCTGATTCCATTTTCTGCTCAAATGCTTCTACTACATCCATCTCATATATTGGAGAGAGGGTTTTTGAAGGCCGATGGTCATACATGTAGGTTTGTGCCAGTGTGTCACAATCATCTATGTATCCTGAAATAATTCATAATACTATACAATGTAAAAATTGCACATGTTGGTACCCCTCAGATTTTGTAGAACAATATTAAAACAATATAATAGTTATAGTCCAAAAAAACATAGAATGGGAAAAATAACATTTATACAAAATTGACAGGATTACTGAGGCATTTCTTTTTCTAAATTAAAAAAAAATAAAACAATTGAAGGATGTTTAGCAGCAAAATCAACATAGGCAACTAACAATAATTCTCCATACTTTAATTTGAAACTTGTGATACAAAAAAAACAACAAAAATTACTTAAACATAAACATAGAATGTGCACATGTGTCTAATTCACTACAATAGAAACGTAAAGAGAAAAAAAGACATGGTCATTTGATGGTGACTTTTAAGGTAAGTCAGTTCCAAAAGGGGAATAAATACATTTTATCTAAAGCCTTATTTGTATATTGCACATGCAAAGGAGGATGCAAGCAAGGACAAACAAAAAAGTACAACTTTAAAGAGTTCCCTCCCTATTGTTATGATTTTGCTGAACAAGGGCTATTGATCAGTATTTTTCTTAGTTCTGATATATAATAGCTACTCTGTCAGCCACTATTGCATATTTTAAATGTGAGTCATTAGTTCAAATTACTATAATAAGGAAGACAAACACACAAAACAACTAGACAGGAAATCATCTATACATATGAAATAAGCCTGGGCTTTTTTCATATATTATCATTGCTTCTAAATATAATCTCTTTTAGGAAATTTATCTTTTTACTTGAAACTTTTAAAGTATAGTGATCCTGAAAGTCTTAATCTCTGTAAAATGTATATAAATTATAATAATTAATCAGTTAAAATAGTTCAGTGCTTTTAGTTACATATTACTATAATTATTGCACAGCCCTCTTAGATATATACTAGCATAGTCCATAAATCATATTCAATGTATAATAAAATTTCTAATAGTCAAGAATTCTATGTTAAATTAGACATAAATAACTAAATAATAGCAAACTAAGTTTTTCTCTTTATTCTTTCATGTAAAATCTCTTAATAGATTAGCTCTAATAATCAAATTTTTACTAGATCTTAATTCCACACTAAGATTTTAAGTGAACAATAAAGAGTAACTAGCTAATTTCATATTATTAAGAAATGTAGGTTTTCATTTGAAATTTGAATCTGTTGCTTAAGTAATTACTCTGTCTAAATAAAATACAACACTCAGGGCTACATCCAAGTTAAAATTCTATAAACTCATTTTCTTATGTATTTAGCATTTCTACTTCTGTACATTACCTGCAGATAAAGCAATATTAGCTCTTTTGGTAGCTGTAGAATGGTTCTCTTTTACTTGACCTTCCTGAGGCAGAAGTTGACTCCGACAGGAGTCCAGAAATTTTGTAGAGCTGTTCTTTGGTATGTCAGAATTGGGTTCTCTTTGATGAAGCTCCAAATGACATGGTCTTTCTTGAGATTTTATATCACTATCTGAGAGTTTGCTGCGTTGCTGAAAGTCATTATCCACATCGCTTCTGCAATTTACCTTTCTATCTTCTGGAAGAAGCTGTCTACCTCCTTTGGACAGGACATCTACTGTGTACTTTTTTCCTGTGGCTGAAGTACTCTGTTTATCTCTTCTCAATGAGTCAGTACTACTGCGACCCAAGAGAGAGCTTTCGTTTTTATATACGCTATTGCCTTTATCTTGTTTACATTCTGAAATACTACCTTCACTTCCTTGTGAGTACCTGGAATAGCAGGTCCTTCCATGATGTTCATGAGAAATGCCATCAAAAACATCAGAAGGTGACAGAGAATCTACAGAAGGCTGAAAAGGAGTATGGACTTCCCCTTCATCAGATCCTAGTTCTTCACATTCATCTACTGAAAGTAAAACGGATCTTTTAAAATTTTTAGTTGCAGAAAACTCATGACTTTCATTTTCTGTTGCATCTTCAAAAGCTAAATTAATTATTCCCTGAAACTGCTGAGGAGCTGAGTTAGATGTAGAGAAATTTTCTCCAACATTTTCAGCTTCGGATCTTTCATCTTCTGTTTCATCTGCTGAGGAAGAAACCTGATCTACTTCCTGAGCAAACTGGACACTGCCTCGTAGAACATTTTCTTTTTCCCTAGGGTAGACTACTGTAGATCTAGACCAAATTTCTGGCCTTTTCCTAGGAATCTCATCATCGCTTGTTGAATTAATTTGGAAAAGATCATTACTACTTTGCTTTTTCATTTTCACTTCAATTCTTAAGTTACTATCGTATATTTTTAATTCTTCAGGAGTACTGGTATCACTGCTACTTCTCCCAAGAAAATCATGGCACAGCATTGTGCCACATTTAGAAATACCTCTGTCATTGGACCCATCATCATCCTGAGACCCTCCAGCATCATAGTCTTCAGATCTGGGCTTTATGTCATCAGAGGATGTGGTAGCACTGCCAGTGTCAGATTCAGGACTCTCTCTCTGATGCATACCACTGGTACTCAAATTCCAATGACTCATGAATGGAACTTCTGGAGTTTCGTGGCTCTCTGGAGTTTCTGTTGTTTCCATATCTTTAGGAGAAGTTTTTCCTGATATTTGTTCCAAAACAGACTTGGAGGAAATATCTGAGTCTGCTGTAGCATGTTGGATTTCACTCATAGCAGAGTCATCAGACAAGTGACTAGGAACTGTCTGTTCTTCAACAAGAATTTTAGATTTCCTGTCATCTTGGACAGAATTTAAGGTACCATTTGTCCTTTCAGGAACACACGGTAAAACATCTTTGTCACATTTAATGTTTAATTTTTTGTTTGTATCTTTTCTCACTTCTTGCTTCTCTCTATCTGATACTGAATGCCTTTGCTCTGCATCTGCAGAGTCTAAATCACAAACTGGATGAGAGTTCAGGGAGTTTACACTGGGATCTGAAATCGTGGATTTTAGGGCAGTGGTGTTATAAAATTTTGGATCTACATTATCACTCCCATCATAATGACAATATATTTTAGCTGTCTTGTGCTGATGTGTTTCTTTGCTGGAAAATTTTGTTTCACTTTTATCTGAACACATCTGTTTTGATTCCAGTTCACATTTTGATTTTTCCAAATCTGAAATACTTTGGCATTCTAATTTCTCTTTCCCTTGATTGTTTAATGGCTTTTGTGGGTCAGGTATGCATGATGACTGGAATGCTTCTGTACTGCTGATTTCTAATGCGAGATTAATTAGCGGTTCATGAGGCTTCTGTTCAGAAATATTGTCCTTGTTTTTACTATCATGTACATCATGAAGCATGCTTTTTTGGACAACACATGTTTCACTTTTTAAAGGTCTTTGAGAAGAAGGCTGAGTTTTCAATGTAATCTGTCCAGGAAGCATTTTCTGTTTTGCATCTTTATTATTCAAAGCTTCACCTTTCTTAGACTGATTTAAGTTTTTAGGCATTGCCACTATTTTTGCATTAACCTTAGGCAAAGGTGTGTGTCCTTGCTTGACAATTTTTTTCTTAGGTGTTTGTTTATCTGTAGTTGTACTGTGGTCCAATTTTGTCACATTTTCATCAGACTGCCTTGAAGAGACTGAAGATTTTACTGAAGTTGGTGACTCTCCTTGAGATCCTAAGAAAAAAAAATTAAAAATATATAATACACTTCCAACTTGTGAATAAAATGCAATACTTGTTTTTAAATTACTTTAGAAAAAATAAAATTAACAATGAAATGATGAAATATCTATGACAATGGACAATAAAAGGTTAGGAGTAACATGATAAAATAAAAAATAAAATATTTTTTATTACAAATACAGGAGGAATAGTCCAGCCTCTTAGCAAAATTATTTAAATAGGATCTCTCTTCCTCAAGAGCCTTGATCCTCATGTCAGAACTGGACTTGCATAATATGAGGGTGGAAAAACTTGATTTTCTTATATTAAAAGAGCAGGAAGGGTCTTCCCCTTGAAGTTTTTTGGGGAAAAAAAGATTTGTGTTACACACAGCTGAAAGAAGAATCAAGCTAAATATAAAATAGAAATGTTTAAATTACTGCAGTTTTTTCCATCAAACACAAACAAAATTAATTTACTTCTCATAGCAAGATCGTGATTATTATAGATCATTTGGGTTAACAACTTAGCTGTGCAGTGGCAACTAAAATTGGTAACTGGAGAGAAAGGGTTAATTTGGAGATCCATTTGTTTACACTGGTTAAGTCCTAGTGATGACATTTTCAACATTTAAATCTACCAAACAGAACTGCCAAATCTTTTTAAATGTGTACTTTTTAGTTATTACTAGAACATGAATAATTTTTCTCCAGTTTATTTATTTATTTATTTATTTAGGCAGCTCAAATGCATTTTTATTTATTTATTTTATTTTTTATTTTTTTAAATTTACATCCAAATTAGTTAGCATATAGTGCAACAATGATTTCAGGAGTAGATTCCTTAGTGCCCTTTACCCATTTAGCCCGCCCCCCCCCCAGAATCCCTCCTGTAACCCTTAGTTTGTTCTCCATAGTTATGAGTCTCTTCTGTTTTGTCCCCCTCCCTATTTTTATATTATATTCATTTCCCTTCCCTTATGTTCATCTGTTTTGTCTCTTAAAGTCCTCATATGAATGAAGTCATTATGATTTTCATCTTTCTCTAATTTCACTTAGTGTAATACCCTCCAGTTCCATCCACGTAGTTGCAAACAGCAAGATTTCATTCTTTTTCTTTATCTATCCATCCACTGATGGACATTTGGGCTCTTTCCATACTTTGGCTATTGTTGATAGTGCTGCTATAAACATGGGGGTACATGTGTCCCTTCAAAATAGCACACCCGTATCCCATGGATAAATGCCTAGTAGTGCAATTGCTGGGTCGTAGGGTAGTTCTACTTTTAGTTTTTTGAGGAACCTCCATACTGCTTTCCAGAGTGGCTGCACCAGCTTGCATTCCCATCTCCAGTTTATTTTTAAATTTACTTTCAGTATTAATTATCTAGCTCAAAATTGTTTTTAGGCTTTTACAAGCTCTTATCTACATGAATGCTTAATACATAAAGCAAATTAGTTTTCTTTTAACGTTTATTTATTTTTGAGACAGAGAGAGACAGAGCATGAATGAGGGAGGGTCAGAGAGAGAGGGAGACACAGAATCTGAAACAGGCTCCAGGCTCTGAGCTGTCAGCACAGAGCCCGACGCGGGGCTCGAACTCACGGACCGCGAGATCATGACCTGAGCTGAAGTCGGAAGTTTAACCTACTGAGCCACCCAGGCGTCCCTTAATTTTTTTTTTTAAAGTAGGTTTCATGCCCACCGCAGAGCCCAGTGCAGGGCTTGTACTCACAACCCCGAGATCACGACCTAAGTTGATATCAAGAGCAGGGTGCTCAACCAACTGAACCACCAAGGCACCCCAAAACAAATTAATTTTTAAAATCAGTTATTAGCTTAGCAAATCATACAATCTGATCAGTATCCTCTCTTTCTTAGAACATAGCAAAACAGTAGGTAACAGGAGGGAAAATTCTTCTTCCCTACATATCACAGCTTTCAAGACTGTACCATTACTATTTAAAGGGCTTATTAGTGCCTGTTTTGCACATGGAATTCCTACAGTTAACAATGAAACTGAAGAAACCTGGGCATAATATATAAAAGGACCAAAAATACAGATAAACCAGTGACTCCCTTAATTATTTCTCATAAAAGACAATAAAAACCAAACCCACACCCTGGTAATACCAAAATACTTGTCAAAAAGTAAAGTGTAAAATCTCATCTTTATAGTATGACACAAATATAAAATGAGCGAAACTATCTTATATTTTGTTTATTTGTTGTGAAAGTTCCAAATCAGAGTTCTGCTTATTCAATTTAAACACAGAAGTAATACCCAGGACTATTTCAGCTTTACCTTGAGTTTTAGCAAGATTAGATGAGGCATTTTTTATTCTCTGTTGAGCTGTAGTACATCCACTGCCATTTCCTCTTTTCTTTAAAATTGCCTGTGGTACTGGATCACTATATCCTTTGTTAGTGACCTTCTTTAGTGCACTAAGAAAAATGATTTGCATTCAGTATTGCACTCAGATTCCAACACATGAACTTTTATTTTTTATTTTATTATTTTTTTAAGTTGATGTATTTATTTTGAGAGAGAGATAGCTCATGAGCAGGGGAAGGGCAGAGAGATAGAGAAAGAGAGAGAGAATCTCAAGCAGGGTTTGTTTTGCACTGTTAGTGCAGAGCCTGATGCAGGGCTGCAACCCATGAACTGTGAGGTCATGACCTGAGCCAAAATCAAGAGTTGGATGCTTAACTGACTGAGACACACAGATGCCCCCAACACATGAACTTTCAAAAGACCCATATATGAAATATATTTTTTCTCAAATTAAAAAATATATCTTTTGTTCTAAAAATCGAAAAATCATATGTTCATAAGTCTTTAAGTTCATAAGCTTGTGGGTCAAGTATGATAAAGCAATGCATAATCAAGTGCCACAAATGTAATCTATCATTTTGCATCCATAGTCATTCTGTGTCAATATACTATTTCCTTTTAAGAAATAGTTTTAAAATATCATTGTATAAATACATTAAATTTTCTAACAAAAAAGAAAAGATATATTTCAAAAATATTTTTAATGTTTATTTATTTATTTTTAGAGACAGTGTGTGAGCAGGGGAGGGGCAGAGAGAGAGGGAGAGAGACAATCTGGCAGTGCAGATCCCAATGAGGGGCTTGAACTCATGGACCTTGAGATCATGACCTGAGTAAAATCAAGAGTCAGATGCTTAACTGACTGAGCCACCCAAGTGCCCCGAAAAGATATTTTTAAAATATTTAGCTAGAAGTCAGTATACAATTAACTTAGAAAAAGCTAACGTATAGGTAAAATAATGAAGGGAGACCTACCTGTTATTTATACTAGTTTCTTCGTGAATGCTTTTTTTATTTGAAGTTCCATTGGTAACTTTTGAAACAGGTCGAGATTTTACTGCTGTAAATTAAGAAACAGTGAGTCATGAAACAGAGAACTGAATATGTAAAAGTCATGCATAAATTCAGTGGTCAGACACTATATCCAAAATTAAATGTTAATGTGGGATGAAGTATGGTTTCTCTCAGTTTGCATGAACACACATAAATAAATGCTTTTTTGGCATTTCAAACTAAATAAACATCCAAACACAGAATCATTTTTTGTAGGAACTTTAACTGTCAGGAGCTATTAAAAGTGAGGGTACTAAAACCCACCTACAGTAGAAGTTTTGATACTTTCCACACTGTTTTTCATGGTCTGTCCTGGAGATTCACAACAGGACAGTTTCTCACTAGAAGGCTTCTCTTCTCCTACTGATCCATTTTCTTTTGGTTCATCCAGACATTCAGTGGAAATCAATAATTCCATACTTGAATTTGTAGATCTGCTGGAGGGCCCTGTGATGCTGAGGCATGGAGAATCCTTTCCTGTCACCTTCTTCAGAGGCTTTGCTTTGGCTTGCGCATTTAAGTTTCCAGTGAGTACCTTGGGTCTGGCGCCAGTAATGTGCCCTTCCTGATTTCTTACTCCTTTCCCATTTAATGAATTTTTCTGTCCATTTGCTGCCACTGCTGCTGATCTTTCCACAGCTTGTCTAGGCGACATGTTTGCTGACTTTGCATTATCACCGTTTTCTGTTTGGGACTTTATTATAGCTTTGGGTTTTCCAGAAACATTTTTTCCCCCAGTTTTAAGTTCTTTTGTAACCTTGGATGCTGTTTTTGTACCACCCTTTTCCTTTAAATCATCATGCTTCAAAGTTTTATTTATAGTATTTCTGTTAGAACTTGATGAATGTCCAGATGCTCCTAATCCATCAGATTTCATCTTTTGCTTAGTAGAGGGATAACTCCAACACTCCTTCTTGGTATTACCTCTCCACGATTTGTTATTTATAACATCAGAGTCAGAAGCTTGTCTCCTTTGCTACAAAGAAGAAAAAATACTTTATAACTTGACTGATGTCTTTGACTTATAATACTTTGTTTCAATAAGCCAGTTTTTCAAAGAGAAAAAAGTAAAAATCACATTATGATATAAGACAGTTCAAAATTTGAATTATCTTTGATCATTTGAATGTGTCTTTGGTCACATTACCTTAATCAAATCTGAAATACAGCATAAAAAAATTAAAAGGCAATGTTATTTTAAAAAGGCATACCATTTAACTTTGTGAAGTTATACTATAGTAGAGATTAATACCGAAAGGTGTCACGATGCCTTTGGTCAATGATAACAATGTCCAACATTTTTTGAGGGTCCACTTCCAGGCTGTATGCTAAAATCCTTTCATAGGTCATCTCACTTAATACTTACAACACTCCTGTGAGAGAGCTCCTGTTGTTAACTCCGTTTCTTAGACAGGAAATTGGGGATTAAGGCAGGTATGTGATTTACCAAGGTCAAATGCTGATAAGGACGGAAGTAGGACTTGAGTTCATGATTAACTGCTTTAAGCTGGCAGTCATCTTTTTTTTCAACGTTTTTTATTTATTTTTGGGACAGAGAGAGACAGAGCATGAACGGGGGAGGGGCAGAGAGAGAGGGAGACACAGAATCGGAAACAGGTTCCAGGCTCCGAGCCACCAGCCCAGAGCCCGACGCGGGGCTCGAACTCACGGACCGCGAGATCGTGACCTGGCTGAAGTCGGACGCTTAACCGACTGCGCCACCCAGGCGCCCCTAAGCTGGCAGTCATCTATATGGTATAATTTGAGGGCCATGATAAAGGTTTTCACAAAAAACTCTCTTCAATCCTATCCCAAATGCCAGAAATTTTATCACTAAAGACTTAATCTTTGGGGGGTTGGGGTTTGGAAGCCCCTGGGAAACAAGACAGTATATATGAAAAGTTTGGCTTTTGGAAGAAACAAGATAGTAATACAGCTCTGGCTATATGGACAAAGTGGAGGAAAAGGGGTCCTAAAGACAGGTGAAGTAGGTAAAAAGAGGAAAATAGCAAGACAATGAAAACACTGAAGACAAGGCACCTACATCATTTTGGTTAGAATCAACCTTGCTATGGAAGGAATAACAACATTTAAAAAATTGGTAGGAACTGGAAATAAAATTTTAAGATTATAGTTGCTACTCTTTATTAAATATGCCCTCCCCCGCCTTGAAAAGCTGTATGAAATTGCACAGGTCTGAGGAAGAGCCTGTGTTGTCTTCATCTTTGTATCCCTTAGCACTATGTCCATAACATTTTGAATACTCAGAAAAAAGTGATGCATGTTGTTAGGGGCGCTTGGGTGGCTCGGTTGGTTAAGCATCCATCTCCTGCTTTCAGTTCAGGTCATGATTTCATGGTTCGTGGGCTTAAGCCCTGTGCAGTGGGCTCTGCGCAGACAGTGCAGAGTCTGCTTCTGATTCTCTGTCTCTCCCTCTCCCTCGCCCCCGCCTGCATGCGCACTCTCTCTCTCTCTCTCAAAACAAATAAACATTTTTAAAAATGTGAAGCATGTTGTTAAATCTGAGCATATATTGATATATAGTTCAAGGACTAACTATTCCAAATGTGTCCAAGATAAAGATAACATATACATACATGTATGTATGTATGTATGTAAATACACACACACACACACACACACACACACACACACACACACACACACACACACAATAAATCACCTGACTAAGTTTAGGGAAAAGCTAGGTGTAGTACTAATAAAAGAATCATTGGATTCTTGTCATAGCTTTACCTGTAACTGACTTAGGATATTTAAGAAGTCATTAACATCACTGAGCCTCATATTATTAATATTTAATTCTAGAGAGGGTTGGAGACTGGTCCTATTCAGTGTAGTATTCTAAGATTCTGTGTAATATTTATAAAGTTCAAATATTTGGTCCTTAGTTTTTGTTTTTTTTATCAAATCTTAGCTCAAAAAATAACCTTTCTCTGCTTTTATTTGGGTTTTTTTTTTTGGTGCAAAAAGGTGTTTTTGTTAAAGCATGGGGACAGGACCTGTGGGCAGAAAAGAGCCACCTCTATTTTTAATACCTAACACTAGGTAGACTTCTAATTTTAGACTTCTTCTCACCCTTGAAACTGACCCTACTTAATTTACTATATTGTTAAATCTATCTATTTTAAAGCACCATGTTATGGGTGAGATCTATGTAGTACATGGGGTAACCACACTCTTTTAGAAACTTCATATTAACATAGTATAGCATGATGAGGATTCAGAGTATATACACACCTAGGCATTCTCTAACTTACATCTGCAAAATTTACATAGATTTATTGTATACAAATGGCCAACTGGAAAGGTCACCACATGCTATTGACAAAAGTGAGAAAAAGAAGGCAATCCTCCCTTTTGGTTCCAGTACTATTCTTTTTGTTTAAATTTTTATTATAGTAAAGGTTACACACAATCAAAAGAAAATAGAATAGTATTATGAATCCCCACGTACCTATTACCCAACTTTAACAATAATCAGCTCTTGGCCAATTTTGTTTCATATATAACTACTATCATTCTATTTTGAAGTAAATTCCAGACATCATTACCTTAAGTATTCTGGTACCAGCACTCTTCTTAAACCTTTCTCTTTGTCTTATCTCATTAACTTTTCTCCTATCCCAGAAGAATTCACCTCTTTTTGGAAAACACATTTATTCATTCCACACTTATTGAGCACCTACTACATACCAAATAATTGCACATAAATTATTTCACTTATTTTTCACAATAACTCTGCTAGGTTTTATTATTCCATTTTACAGACAAGCAAACTAAGACTCAGATATGGCAGAGATAATAAATGTGAAGTCAAGATTTTAACTCTTATTCTATGCCCAGCACCCATTTCAGTATACCACTGCCCTTTTTAAGGAAACATATTACCCTGTTTCCTTCCCACTGTGGTTAACAGTATAAATCCTTGGACAACCTAAAAGTCACGATGGTAAGGAAGAATAATGAGACTTCGTTCTATTTTACTATAAGACAAGGAAAGAGCGATAGCCTAGTTGGTAATAGTCAGTAGAACAGGAGAAAGCAAAGCAGGTAGGCTAATTCTTTGGGGGCCTAAAAAACCAACGAAACCACCCACCCACCCACTGGGGATAGCAGGGAACTAGTACATAGAGAAAAATGTCCTAAGGTAACACTTCCTAAAGTATGTTCTATGGAACTCTATAATATACTTAAGAATGGTCAAGGGGGAGTCTAGCAGTGTTTGGTGCTTAGGGAAAGAAAAATGTTTCAACATTGGTGTATAACAAATGCATCTTAACCATTTTTAAGTGGAAAGTACAGTAATATTAACAACAAATCTCTAGAACTTTCTCATCTTGTAGAACTAAAATTCTATACTCACTGAAAAACTGCCCTTTTCCTTATACCCCCAAGCCCCTGGCAACCACTCTTCTACTCCCTATTTCTAGGAGTTTGACTACTTTAGATACCTCATAAAAATATAGCAAGTAACTTTCAAAGTAAAACACAACTATACTCTTGATACTAAGTGCCTTTTTTCACACCAAAAATGTATTATGTGAATTAAAATCTTAGTATAGAGAAAAGTGGGACAACTAAAATCTTTTGTAAGAAGTAGGTTAATTAGAAAATTAGACATTGAATTAGGTCTAGAATTTTAGACAATTTCTGATCTATTGGAATAGCTCCAATGTTAGTTGCCAAAAAAGGTTTTCAAGGAAATAAAAAAGACAGACAATATTTCACTTTCTAAGACAGATACCATATGTTTTCACTCTTATGTGGATCCTGAGAAACTTAACAGAAACCCATGGGGGAGGGGAAGGAAAAAAAGAAAAAAAGAGGTTAGAGTGGGAGAGAGCCAAAGCATAAGAGACTCTTAAAAACTGAGAACAAACTGAGGGTTGATGGGGGGTGGGAGGGAGGGGAGGGTGGGTGACGGGTATTGAGGAGGGCACCTTTTGGGATGAGCACTGGGTGCTGTATGTAAACCAATTTGACAATAAATTTCATATATTGAAAAAAAAATTTCACTTTCTATGCCAGCTGGACATCAAAAATTCACATAATTTAAAAATATATAGAATATTCACTTGATTAAAAAGTCAAAATTATTTTCATCAAGAAACAACTATAATTATGAAAAATACATTTTAAAAATCAATGAAATATAAATTAATACAATTTAAATTATTTAGTATCTTTTTTCATTTGGACCTATAAAATTTTTAAAGTTTACCTGAGAGCTACTGAAAACAGGCTTTTTGCCAAGTCTTCGATCATCACCTTTGTCAAATGCAGCTGTAGGAAAAACAACAATTTATTTTTATAGGAAACACTATTATTACCATAAAAATAGAAAAAGGTTACATTTTAATGAAAGTAACTTAAAACAGGCTTAAAAACAAACTAGTACACATAAATAATTCCATATTATATTTTAGAACTTTTTTTTTAAAGAACCCTATTTTCAATCTTATTTTCTGGTCTGCATTGAGTTTATGTTATTAAAATTAATAAGAAATGTAAAAAAAAGAAATGTAAAATCTCATGACAGGATTTCATACATTTATAAAAAAACGGAATTTTCTCAAGCTGTGAAATTTTAGAGATAATTGGTTTCATTTAGTTTTACAAATTTACAAAAAATTACAGGTTGTGGCAAATGTGGTATTTTAAAAAACATTAAATATGAGAAAATGTCCATCCTAAAAAATGTAAAAATACTCTGTTGAAATTAAGTACAAATTTTTCCTGGTTTTGCAGGTATATCATAAGGAAGAAAAAAAGAGAAGGGGAAAAAATAAGGTTCTGTTGAAAATAAAACAAGAAAGAATCCTCAAACCCATATCATCCTTTTTAGAATTACATAAAAATTTATTTTGTAGATTATTATATGGGAGTTATTGGGGAACTCATGTTTATGTTCTGCAAATAAGAATTTGAATGACGTCAGGAAAATATACAGAAATAATGGGACGAGAGCTATAAATATAGTTCAGCTAATGTATTTCTTTCTTTTGAAGGTTATAGGGTTTGAAAATGTAGTTTGAAAAAATATATATAATCTCCAAAATTTATGTGATATTAAAATAGCTGATGAGAAATATATTAAATTATTTGCAACACTACCATGCATCTTCTATTTGTGTTCCATAGGATCTGTGGTATAAGACAAAGCAGGATCCTATAAATGGTATTTTAAGAACTGATCTGTAGTAAGCAGATGACTCTGCACAGTCCTATACAAAAAGAAATTAATATAAGGTTTCTCCCAAAGGTCAGTAACTCAATTAAAATATAAGAAATGTTATAACAAAAGACAACCTAGAACCACCCCTTTATATGGGGTTTCCTAATGCAGTAACTATCCATTCAACATGCTGAAGATTAAAAAAAAAAATTATTACATTGATAGAATAGATTGAAAAGTTCTTTTTGACAATTTATACAATTACCAATAACATTTTGTTTTACATATGTGTATGTTTATGTATGTATTTGCATGTATTTATCATTATCACTTTGTAGAATTAAGAAAAAGAACATTATTTAAGGCCCAACTTAACTATGAAATTCTTTAAAATGAAGAAAAACAAAGTTTACTACCAATCAGAAAAGAGTTGAATGACACCTACTCATGGAATGCTGATCTTATTTCTTCACATTGAATACATTTTGTAGTAAAAATAAACTGTTATCTAAAAATCACTACACAAATAGTCACAAGGAAAAAATTTCAAATTCCTGAAGACCTTGAGATTTTCGTTGTTTCATGATTTTGTTGGAATTTCTTTGAAAAGTGCTCTTGAGATCACATCTAGCTACACTATCATGTTATGCTCATAATGCAAGACAGAGCAAATCATATTCTGACTATTCCATTAAAGAATTTAACATATCTATGCACTATCAAGAATATATCACATATGGCTTTCATGTTTTATAGTACAAAAATGTTCACTTCCTAAAATACAGTTTCTTAAAATGTTTTTGAAAGTATACTTGCTGAATCTGCAAATATTTTTTCTAAGGCACCTGCTTTAACCCAAAAATAGTCATGAAGCCATTTTTAGTTCCACACCCTCAAAATTGTTTCTTAGTATTTTTGAAACAAACATATTCTGAGCAATATACATCTTTTGTTTAATGCTAACGTTTCAAATGGTACCTATTAAATGTCAGAGACTACTGTGCGGCTCCTGAGGGACACTCCGCAATAGCACACACCGTATCACTGAACCAATCAATTGTGAAATAAAGCCATCTAATTTACACAAAACCACAAGAAATGATACCTTACGCAAAAGACGGAAAAGCTTTATGGCAAAATATATTTAAAAAGGAAGAGAAAGTATGTCTGGTAATATGTTCTATGTGAATTACATTTTCCTATACTTCTAATCTCTTTATAAGAATGCTTTTGAGCAAATTTGGCTGGAACACTGCTGCTAATACAGAATACAGAATAGGATTAAAAACTGACATATATACATACATATATATACATACACATATAAAGGAAATGAGTCATCTTCTAAGAACAGCAAAGCATGATTTGTTAAAACTGCCTAAACATACTATCACTAGTTTCAATTAGCAAGCTATTACTGAACAGAAGCAAACAATGTTAATCCTACTACTTACTAGAATCCCCTCAAGATATCTCTTGTTACAAAGATCATAATATAAGAATAAGAAATCTCAAGGCTACCATACCTGCTTGGATTTTCTGTTGATCATCTGTGCTCATCAGCTTCCAGCTTTCTGTATGACGAACAGCATAGAAAGACTGAACCAGGAAGATCCACAGCTTATCACGCAGAGCCTGGATCTTGCACGTAAAACCCTGTGTTCAAGCAACAAATCAGCAGCTGGTGAGAGCCACATTGTCATAGCAACCAGTCATTATTCCTTTCCGAATCTACTTACTCCTAAGCTAGATCAATGATGTCATCACTTAGATTTTTAAAATCGTCGGGTTCATGTTATTTATGAAGGCTTACTCTTCAAAAACAGAATTTTATACTGAACATGAAGCTAAACCTTATCCTTTCAAACAAACATTATTTTAAAACACCAATGGCCTTTACATGAATACCTTCTACAGCCTTTTCAAATCAACTATGACATTACAAGGTCAAATACTCTATCCAATAGTAATAAATATGATAAATATTTTTTTTATCATTCTTGTTGAACAAAAACAAAAGGTTAATAATTTGCAATAAGCTTACTATTATCATTGATTAATTGCATTTAAAAACAAATATTTTCATTTTGCTTTTTCCTAGTCAATCCAATTTTAAATGTTTTTTTTTTCCTGAAGGCAAAAAGGAATTGACATATTCTGAAAATAAAAGACACTGATTATTAAAAATTCTAAAAAGTTACTTAAAATTTTCAGTAAGTTTTACATTTAAGAAATCTAATATAGTAACATGGGAGAAATACCAGAGTTACGCCATACCAATTAATATTGTTAAGCACCAAACTATGTTTAGAATTAGCAAGTCAAACTGCCAAATTCTGAACTTTTATAGTAAATCTTCTTGGAGGTAAATGAAATTAAATTTTTATTTAGGAAAAATTCCAACAGACACAAAATTAGGGACTATAACCAACCACCCATCACCAAGTTTTAATGAATGCTACAACATTTAACATGTGCATATATTTTAAAAACTTAAAGCAATTCAAATATATCATTTAAATGAATTCCATCACTTTCAATACCATTTCCTTTGTACTGTCAGAGTTCAGTAACGTGTCCAGAGCCATAAGAAGAGAGCAGCTATTCTCAATGGTAATGTTTTCTTCAATTGCTTTTAAAATTTTGTCCAACAGATCAGCTGTGCTGCTCATTGCTTGTGACTACAAAACACAGAAATTATATTTAATAGGAATACATGTAAAATGTGTAAGAAATGTGAAAGTCTGGCTTAACAACAAAACATTCATCATAACTGACCATTGGAAATCAGCCAGAAATCTTATTTCCTCTGATAATAATATAATAATTATATTTTATAATATATATTACAATTATGTAATTATAATAATAAGCATTATAAAAATCTTTCCTTTAAAAAAAAGACACACACACACACACACACACACACACACACACACAGTTCCTAGGAACCAAAATAGTCCTAAAAACAGAATTAGAAATAAATAATCAAAGTTCTTTATTCAATAACTAAATTTAGAGCAAGTGGGTCCCCAATAAGACAGAATTTTGCATGGACTGTAATGGTATTACTGACAAAACAATACATTAATGACTGGTTTCTAAAATATGGCTTATGCTGATTGAGGGCTATTGCTGGCCAGAGTTACATTACGTCTTACCAGTGCATTCAAACCTGTCCCCTTACTGCCTCACTATCTTGTAAGCCAAAAATCCTGTCCACCACTGCTGTAAATCCTATGCAAGCATGCCATCTGTTATGGAATTTATTTAAGTCACACTAATTTAATCAAAGGCAACCTGCATTTAAAAACTCTTACATAACTATAATCAGAACACAAAGATGGGCTAAATATAGGAAATACTTTTAGACATAGTACCTGTAAGAGAAGAGAAAAATTTTCACTGTGAATGATCTTGGAGAAGTTTTCTATAATAAATGCAATACATTCTTCTTGCAGCTGAGATGCCATAGTCAGGGCTACTTCTGTCCACTTCACTCTGGGTAAACTGATGATTAGCCTGTCACTTTCCATCAGAAGAAAAGCAGCATTCTTATCATTCTTATAATTTAAAAAATATTGGGAAAAAAGTTACTATTTATAAAATAACTTTTTAAACAAATCAAATACTTTTGTTTTCTTATGATGTTTGCTGCAAAAAAACAAAATTCCAGGTTGCTAATATCTTTGTCATGATATATAATATTTTTTTATTTCCTCATTCTGAATTATCCAAAAAGGCAAATTTTGAACTGGGAACAAATCATCTCTAAAAGATAGCTAAAAGAAACCTGAGAGAAGAGCTATAATAGAACTACAAAGAAAAACTTGACCTCTCTGAGATTTTCCCTACTGAATTAGTTTTTGTGCTTATAGATATCATTCATAACTGTATAGCTACACTGACATAACCTTAATTCTTTCCTGACTATAAAATACATGCTCTTTATTACAAATCTAGAAAGTCTAAAAATTGCTTATATTCTCCAGTGATTTTCTTCCTCCACTCTAATTAGGTAAAACTCTTTATATTTTATTCACTTAATGATGATTCATTTTTATTCCACAGGAAAAAAATATTCACAATACTGATCTCTATGGAAAGTGGAATGATAATTCACAAATACCATGTGCTCCAATGAACAAGAAAAAATGGCAACATATAAATTATCATATTTGGCTTCTAGTTCTTAAAACAATGCTTAGTAAATAACTGTTTGATGTGTAAAGAGTTACCTGATGGATTGTAGTAGACTGAAAAACATGGCCACCAGTTCTTTCTAGCTCCATCCATCAAGAGGTAGAATTTATTTACTCACCCCTTGAACCTAGGCACTTTTCACTTGCTTGCACAAATATCGGTACTGTGCAAGTTCCAGAGCCAAGGTCTCAAAAAGCCCTGCAACTTGCAATTCTGGGATCACAAGGCCATGAAGAAGCTGGGTGAGGAAGACCACATGGAGTGGGAACCCAAGCTCCAACTGAGCCACCAGGTGAAAGCAGCTGCAGGATGGAACTCAGGAAACAATCAGAAAAATTACCCAGTCAACCCACAAAATTATGAGAAATAATAAATTGTAGTTTTAAGCCCCTTTGTTTTAGGGTAGTTTGTTATAGAGCAATAGACAACTGATAAATCTGGAAGTGATAGACTGACATCCTTAACATAGGCTGCATGATGTAAACTTTCCACACCCTCTCTATGTTTCAGATCTCAACTCAAACTCTATCTGACCCTGATCTCTATCCCTATATTAGATTTCTTTTATACATGCCACCAGAGAACCTGTCCCTTTTTTTAGAGTACTTAATTCATTTCTAATTATTCTATCATAAACATAACTACTGGATTAATATCCATCTTTCTCACTGGGCTGTATGTTTACTGAGCGTGAAACCATGTCTATTTTGGCACACCATTGCATCCCAGGGCCTAGTACAGAATTGGGTCAGAGTAGACCCTGAAATATTTGTTCATCTCTTAGCATCATCAGAGAGTGAGAATCCATATGTGAATTCCTAAATTGTTTAATCCTTGAACAAAATTTTTAACATTTTCTATTTTGAATGTTTATTTTGAGAGGTGGAGAGAGCATGTTTGCACAAGTGTGAGTGGGGAGGGGAAGAGAGAAAAAAGGAAAGACAGAATCCCAACAGCCCCCAATGAGGGGGCTCAGTCTCAGGAACTGAAATCAAGAGTCAGGTGCTTAACTGACTGAGCCACCCATGCATGCCGCCCCCCCCCCCCGCCGCTTAACCAAGAATTTTAAAAAAATGTATTATATGTTCCCTTGCTTTATTAGAGTAAAAAAAATCATGTAATGCTATAATTCTTTTGGGTGGGTACCATCACCCTTTCCCCCTCTGACGACATCCTGAGTAACTGTGCTTTTAGGCACTAAGCCCGATTTGTTCTACTCTAATGATTGTTCTGGTGGTGAAGACAAATGTAGGATATTCAAATAAACTTGGTAGATATCTACAAAGTGCTTATTACACATGTTATGTGATATGACAATAATTTTCTTAAAAATATAGATATAAAGTATAGTTATAATTTAGATTGGAACCTACTAAAATATGGACTAAATGATAACATAGGTGGTATGTAATCTTATTCCATACTGATCTGAATATATAACATTAAATGTTAGAGTTCAAAGAAGGTTGAAGCTCAAAGAAGGAAGAAAACATAATAATGCATTTCTAGACAAAACACATAAAATTGTAATCCAATAGTTAACATATTCTTCAAATTTCAACAACATATAAATGGCAGTACTAAGAAAAGTCTCCTTCCCTTTCCTGTCCCCAAGCTACTCATTTTCTCTCTTCCAAACCAGTATTATTTATTTTCTGGGGTCCCCTAGGTGGCTAAGTCGGTTAAGCATCTGACTCTTGGTTTCAGCTCAGGTCATGATCTCATGCTTCATGAGTTTGAGCCCCACATCAGGCTGTGCACTGACAGTGCAGAGCCAGCTTGGGATTCTCTCTCCCTCCCTCCCTCTCTCTGCCCCTCCTGCACTAAGTAAATACACTTAAAAAAATATAATTTTGTATATCTTTCTAGAGTTATTTTATACATACACAAACAAAAAATATATGCAATAACCTTTATTTTACTCAAATGGAAGCATTAATGTGAATAATTCTCAGTATCTTGTCCTTTACACTTAGCATACATCTTAAATATTTTTATCAGAATATAAAGAGCCTTGTTATTGTTTTAATAGCTATATAATAGCCCACAATATGGGTAAGTCATTTAATCCTCTACTTATGTTTACATTGTTTCCAAATTTTTGCTGTTACAATGTTGTAATGAAAGATCTTGTAAATAATATTTCATACGTGTGTGTGTGTGTGTGTGTGTGTGTGTGTGTGTGAACATATCTATAGGATAAACTCCCAGAAACAGAATTGCTGGGTCAATACTACTTGTCTTAACCTGGGTTCTGCCTAAATCCTGAGCCTGAGAAATAGGCTTGTATGCAGACAGTTTATTTTGGGATGTGATCCCAAGAGAATCTGAGGCATAATGAGAGCAAAACAGGGAAGGCAGAAAAGCCAATGGAAGGATATGTTTTCTAGCTTCTTGCTACTCAGTGTGACCCACAGCATCAGCATCCATTGGAGCTTGTTAGAAACATAGACTCTCAAGCTCCACCTCTGACTTACTGAATTAGAATCTGCATTTAACCAAGATCCTGAAATGTTTTGTATATATATTAAAGTTTGAGAAGCACTGATATAGTATTCACTATTACAGGCAAGTGGGGCTCAGTCTTGCTGGGGACCCTCTGAAGAGCCACAAAGAATGCACCTTGAATTATTCTGCCCAAGGGACAAAACAGGGAAACATAACCACTGGCTCTAATCTCCCCTTAGTCAAGGCTTGTCCCCTGAGGTGTTAACTTCCTTCTACTTCCAGGTTTGCACAGGTATCAGAATTGCTGAGTCATAGGTACCCTGTGTGGAGTGACAGTGAAGCCTTAAGACAAGAAATGAGAAATAAGTGTGATGTGGCTGACGGAAAATGCTGTCAGACTGCATGCCTATGAAGCTGTATGCTGCAGCAATGGTTGGCGTACACACATTGGCCAAGAGGATATGAGGTGGGGCACCAGAAGTATCCTAAACATCACCAGTATATATTCAATGAAGGACTGTTTTCCAAACTGTGGATTTCTCTCCTAGCAACCAACAGAAATATTTTTAGTGGCTTACAATCAGCATTAGAAAACAAAACAAAAAAACAGAGAAAAGAGAAAAACAGGAAATATTAGTACATCATGTAATAATGGTAAGCATTCTTTTGTGAAACTTGTTTTAGTTTTCTATGTGTGAGTGTACTGGGTTACAATGTAAAAGAAAATTCTCACTCTCGGTTACAGTTAAAAAAGTTTGAAAAACACAGCAACAGATGTGCTAATTTATACCCTTCCCAAGAATGAATAAAAGTACTTCTTCCCTACATCCTTACTAACCTAGTACACATTCCCTTTTTCGTTTCATTCTAAAAGATAGAAAATGGTTTGATACTGTCATTTTCATGTCCATTTCTCTTAAATGAAGTTGAGGATTTATTCATCAAATTAAGAAGTATCTGTATTGTCTTTGTGAACCATCTAATTTTGTCCTATATTTTTAAATCAACTTGTGAGAATCCTCTATATTAGGAAAACTAGAGCCAAAAGTATGATATAAACTGTCATTTGTCTTTTGACTTTGCTTGGTTGTTTTTACTACATAAAATTTTGTGTTTTTATGTAATCAATTTTTTAAGCCTTCTGAATTTTATATCTCTACTCTCCTGTCAAGGTTATAATTCTCCCAGGGTGTACTGTAATATTTTAACGGCTTTTTCCCCCCACATTCAAACCTTTGATCTATTTGGAATGTATCCCTTGCATACCAGGATATGAAGTATAGATCCAACTGAAAATTCTTCCAGCCAGCTTCCTGGATAATACCATATATTGAATAAATCCTGTGAGTCATATTATTTCTTAATCCTTATGATATTGTGTTGATCAAATAGGTCTTAAGCTATCCTTTGACCTTAGGACTAAATAGCATAATATATACAACTTTGTTTTACCCTACTGACCATCCCTACTTTTGTTTTAACTTCCCTCCATTTAAAAACTCTTCATAATTTGCTTTTTTTTTTTTTTTTTAAATTTTTTTTTTTAATGTTTATTTATTTTTGAGACAGAGAGAGACAGAGCATGAACGGGGGAGGGGCAGAGAGAGAGGGAGACACAGAATCGGAAACAGGCTCCAGGCTCCGAGCCATCAGCCCAGAGCCTGACGCGGGGCTCGAACTCACGGACCGCGAGATCGTGACCTGGCTGAAGTCGGACGCTTAACCGACTGCGCCACCCAGGCGCCCCCATAATTTGCTTTTATAAGGGCTTAAACATTTTGGCACAGAAAAATTTAATGTTTTGAAACAGTTCAAGTAATTACATTATAAAATTATAACTTTTCTAACACCTTTCTCTCTTGTACTCATGCCTTCACCCTGCTTTCTCTTCTAACCAAAAGCAATGGTTGTACGTGGTAGGAGGGAGCAGCCACATTTTACTGAACTGCTGCATAGACCCAGAAAGGGAAAAAAACCTCAAATCCCCTCACATTAATAAAAGACCAAGAAAATCCTCCAAATATAGTTCAGTGTAGCACTTTCTTATCTCCCTTCGTATATGACAGTGTTGGGCATGTCACTGATGCAGTTAAGTGCCCACCATGGCACATGCAGTTGAGCTGAATTAGAACTAAAGAAAAATAAGAAGACTGCTGCTCTTTCACTTTTTGGATAACATATTTCAAATTTTAATTTGAAACAATTAAAAAATTTTCTTAAAAAATTTTTTAGTTGACACATAATGTTACACTAGTTTCAGGTGTACAACATATGTTGTGCTTACTGCAAGTGTAGCTACCATCTGTCAACATACAGTGCTATTACGATACCATTGACTACACTCCCTATGCTGGGCCTTTTATTCTTGTGACTTATTCTTTCCATAACTGGAAGTTTGTACCCACCACTTCCTTTCACCCATTGTTCCCATCCTCCCACCCCTTTCTTCTAGCAACCCCCCAGTTTGTTCTTTGTATTTATAGGTTTGATTCTGCTTTTTGTTTATGCATTTGTTTGTTCAGATTTCACCTATAAGTGAATTCATATGGTATTTGTTTTTTGCAGTATGACTTATTTCACTTAGCATAATATCCTCCAGGTCCATTCATATTGTCACAAATGGTAATATTTCATCCTTTTTATGGCTGTATAATACTCCTCTCTGTGTGTGTACATCTTCCTCATCCATTTGTCTATCAGTAGACACTTAGGTTGCTTCCATATCTTGGCTCTAATAAATAATGTAGCAATAAACACAGAGGTGCATGTATCTTTTTGAATTAGTGTTCTCATCTTCTTTAGGTAAATACCCAGTGGTGGGATTACTGGACCATATGGTAATTCTATTTTTAATCTTTTGAGGAACCTCCATACTGTTTTCCACAGTGGCTGCACCAGTTTGCATTCCCACCAACAGTGCATGAGGGTTCCTTTTTCTGAATATCCTCTCCAACACTTGTTATTTCTTGTCTTTTTGATAACTATTCTGACTGGTCTGAGATGGTCTCTCATTGTGGTTTTGATTTGCGCTTCCCTCGTAATTAGTGATATTGAGCATCTTTTCATGTATTGTTGGCCATCTGTGTATACGCTTTGGAAAAAATGTCTATTCAGGTCTTCTCCCCATTTTTAATTGGATTTTTTTTTTTAGTATTAAACTGTATAAATTCTTCATGTGTTTTGGATATTAACCCCTTACTGGATGTATCATTTGCAAATACCTTCTTCCATTCAGTAGGCTGCCTTTTTGTTTTCTTGATGCTTTCCCTCACTGTGCAAACCCCTTTTATTTTGATTTAATCCCAATTTATTTTTGCTTTTGTTTTCCTTGCCTGAGGAGACATATCTAGAAAAATGTTGCTATGGCCATGTCAGGGATATTATTTGCCTATGTTTTCTTCTAGGATTTTTATGGTTACCATTTAGGAAATGGTAATTTTTATGGTTAAAAATGGTTAACATTTTTAAGGTTCCACATTTAGGTCTTTAATCCATTTTGAGTTTATTTTTGTGTATAGTGTTAGCAAGTGGTCCAGTTTCATTCTTTTGCATGTAGTTGTCCAGTTTTCCCAGCACCATTAAAAAATATCCGAATTTTTTAATCAAAAGCGAAATATACTTTATTTATATAATAAAATATGAAAAATATATTAAGTTACTGTTTCTGAAAGCCTGACTATTCACAAAGAAAGATATAATTTCAGGGGCACCTGGGTGGCTCCAATTTTGGCTCAGGTCATGATCTCACAGTTTGTGGGTTCGAGCTCTGCATTGGGCTCGGTGCTGGTGGTGCAGAGCCTTCCTGTGATTCTGTCTCTCCCTCTCTCTCTCTTCCCTTTTCCCACTTGTACTCCCTCTCTCAAAATAAATAAAAACAAAAACCTAAAAAAAGAAAGACATAATTTCAAAATTTCAATTAAACTGCATGTTCAGCTGCTCTGATGTCATCTTTTCATCTGTCTTAAAAGTAAAAAACAAATATTCACAAAGCTTACAAAGACCTGATTAGAGTTATAAAATCAAAATATTGTTAACAGAGGGAGAGGCATCATATGAAGGGCTTATTCTTCAATTAAACTCACATACTTACCACTTACTAAAAAATCAAACCTTTTTTTTAATGTTTATTTCTGAGAGAGAGCGTTCACGTGAGCGGGGGAGGGGTAGAAGGAGAGGGGGACAGAGGATCTGAAATGGGCTCTGCACTGACAGAAGAGAGCCCCATGCAGGGCTTGAACTGAGGAACTGTGAGATCATGACCTGAGCCGAAGTTGGATGCTTAACTAACCAATTAAGCCACCCAGTGCCCCCCAAAATCAAACTTCTTAACAAGACATTCAGTTAAGATCCCTCCCAATCTGGCCTTAGCCTCTCCCCAGACTTATCTCTTCTCATTCCAGTTATAGCAGAATATTGGAACTGTCTGTCTCCAGGTCTCTGGTCACAATTTAACAGTCTGTCAGGAATATCCTAATGTACTTGTTTTATTCTGAACTTTTCCTCTAGCTTCAGGTTCATCTCAAATTACTTCTCTCATCCTTCTAATCAGAATCAATTGTTTTAACCTCTGTGATCCCATGTACACACCTGAATTTTAACTTATACTTATTCTTTCATTTATTTACCTATTTGAAAATATATACTGAGTTGCTAATATGAGCCAGGCACTGCTCTAAGGCTGAGGCTACCAGGGTAAATTAGACTGACAAGGAACTTAATATTAGTACTCATCATAGTTTAACTTGTATTATACTTAGTTATTTAAATGCCCATTCTTCCACCAATTTGTGAGATGATAAAGTCAAGGTCCACATTTCTTTAAAGAAAAATTTGCCCACAGTGAGCACCTATCAGATTATCTTTAGAATGGCAGCAATTGGTTTTAAGATCTGGCTTTGGGGGTGCCTGGGTGGTTCAGTCAGTTAAGCGTCTGACTCTTGATTTCAGCTCAGGTCATGATCTCACTCACAGTTCGTGATCTCTGCGCTGACAGCACGAAGCCTGCTTAAGATTCTCTGCCTTCCTCTCTCTCTGCTCCTCCTCTGCTTGTACTCACTCTCTCTCTCTCTCTCAAAATAAATAAATTAACAACAACAACAAAAGATATGGCTTTGTCATTTACTGACATTTTGAATCTGAATAAAGCACTTCTGATTCTCTTTTCTCATATGTGAAATAGAGGTTAGAGTACCTGTCTTACATAAAATTTTAAAAATGCCAAGTATTTTTTGAACTATAAAGGTCTAAAGACACCCACTAAATAATGATAATAATAATAATAATAATAATAATAACAACAACAACAACAACAACAACAACAGCAGCAATAGTAGTAAATGATGTTTCTACTTCTGTGAAGCTGAAGTATAGCTGGGACATGGTTTGCCTTCATGAACAGGGAGTAGCTATTCACTGACCAAAGAAACGAATGCAAAATATTAAGAAACTAAGCCACAAAGTCCTTCATTAGCATAAATATAGATTGAGATTTATTTTTTGCTGGTAGTATTTCACCAGCTGATGGCCTACACTTATTTTCCCAGTTAGGTTTAGATGTATCTTCTATGTAACCCAGTCTGACGTATCATTTAGGGTTCAGAGAAAGAGAACCACTAGGAGTTAATTGTATATATATAAAGGAATTTGTTACAGAGATTTGACCTTATGTAATCGTGGGAGCTGGTTAAATGGTATTTGTAAATGAAGATATATTTGAAGACCACAGGGAAGGCAGCTGATATGAGAAGAGAGGACAGCAAGGACATACTAACACCAAGAACACAAGCTGTAATCCACAAGGATGGACTCATTTCAGCTTTCACTGCCTACAACCTGGATGAAATAGGTGTCCTTCAGGCGATGCTGGTACTCTTCATCATGGAGGTAAACATATCTCTGGCAAAGAGGTGAGAGCAGCCAAAAAAGGACACAGGGCATGGTGGAACAGATATGGCCTGGCTGCTGTTTCACGTCCACAAGGTGAGCCAGTAAACAAGCAACACGTATGAGATAAAAGTGCCTGCCCCAATAGTCCTGGTGTTAAAAAAAAAAAAAAAAAAAAAAAAAAAAAAAAAAAAAAGGCTACTGCTTCACTTTTACCCTCCAAATCTCATGCCAAATTGTCCCTTGTGGCCACTCCAAGTGGAAACATTCAAAGAGGGAAATTCTGGGAAACAGTTTATCTGAGCCAAGCTGACAATGTTACAAAATCACTGCAGTCCACCCCTGTGGGCTTGGCACCCATACACATCTCTTTAAACAATACTTAATTTCAAATGGAGACAATAACAAAGTTATGCTTTTGCCTGACATGGTATAAGTATCCTGTATACAACAAACATGCTAGCCCTTCCCTGTAAGAGGATATAAAGTCTTTATTTTGTCTTTGGGAAACATTTATTGTTCTTCAGACTGATTCCCACTCCCCTTTGGTATCCTGTAACTTAAATATGGAGATATAAAATTAACCATTATTAACAGGTCTTATATTAGATGGTAGAGATATGAGACAGTGGAAGGAGTATACATAAACAGTGGTTTATGTAAACAAATATTCATATAAAAAGAGGGAATTAATGTTTATATCATAACTACTAGAACCTCATTTCTGTAACTGGTAACCTGGTCATGGCTGGTATTTATCAAGCCAGTTGTTTCAGGATGATAGAAAACATGGTAACACCAGTGAAATCATGAGCCAGACTTGATTTGCTGTGAAGTGAGTTCATTAGTCATAAGTGATGCTGTGTGAAACACCACGATTATGGAAAAGGCAATTCTGTAAGACCATGGATAGTGGTTTTAGCAGAAATACTGGAAGCAAGGAAGGCATATCTGTATTTAGAGCAAATGTCTACTCCGATGAGAACACAGCACTGCCTTTTCCATGATGAAGTGGTCCAATATAATTAACTGGCCTCCAAGTAAATGGCTGGTTCTCGTGGGGAATGTTGCCACAGAGAAGTTTCAGCGCTGTACCAAATCTACCTTAGTGAGTAGAAATCCATGTTGTTGATACCAATGCATAACCTCCATCTGTGGCACCAGGCCCCCTTTGTTCATGAACCAAAATAGTGGTTCTGCTTCTCTGAACCCTAACTAATGAATTTGGTAGAGGGGAACAAAATCTTGAGGACAGGTTCTCAACTGGTTCTGGGTTATCTGAAATCGGTTCTCTCATCTTGCTTTTACCATAGAATTCTACATTTATGTTTAAAACGTTGAAAGTACCTACACAAAACTGAATAAACTTTTTGATGACAAATACAAACAAGGGTATTCAGTTTATACTTACTAAAGACTGAATCAACATGTTAAGACAACTTTTCTGAATCTCAGGAGGTACATTTGCAAAACTTCTCTCAGACCAAAACCTTGCAAAATGCTTTACAATCCACCTGTTAAAAAAAATAAAAGAATCTCAAGTTAGAGAAATGAAAATATTTTGGATTATAGTATTCAAATAACACTTTTCTTTTCTTTTTTTTTTTTTTAAACTTTTTTTTTTTTAATTTTTTTTTTCCAACGTTCATTTATTTTTGGGACAGAGAGAGACAGAGCATGAACGGGGGAGGGGCAGAGAGAGAGGGAGACACAGAATCGGAAACAGGCTCCAGGCTCTGAGCCATCAGCCCAGAGCCTGAAGCGGGGCTCGAACTCACGGACCGCAAGATCGTGACCTGGCTGAAGTCGGACGCTTAACCGACTGCGCCACCCAGGCGCCCCAACACTTTTATTTTCAATGATATAAGTTGTACATAAATATATGATGACTAACTCTTACCGTTAATTTTGTGAACTCTATGATGGACTTAATTGTCCTCCCTTTTCTGTAAACAAATATTTTAATTCTACTTTAAGTTTGATGCATAGCTTTTGACATAAATAACTATGGTTAGGCTAAAATAAAATAGATCCCAAGCATCTTGAATAATATCTAAGTCAATAATACTTCTCAATTGTTACAACTAGTTAAGCATTAAGCTCCCTACAATGTACCCAAGAAAACAGGCCAATTCCAAAATTTCCCAGAAAATTACAAGAATAGAAGAACAAAATCTTTATATTAATAGTATTGACACTACTTCAAATCACTTACTTCATGCAGTCAGCAAAAAGACTGTCCACTCCAACTGAATGAGCAATAATCAGGCATTCTAGTACAGACGCCAACGTTCTGGGAATAGGCTAAAATTAATAGAAAACACCACATGTATTCTTTTTCAACTTTCAGAGGCTAAAAGTATTTGGTTCATAAACATGATCTGATTTGTATACCTAAACTGCAGAATAAATGTGCATAATTCAAAAGTCTATTCTTGTAAAACAGAGTATCACTAACAACCTTTAGTTTTATAGAATAGCATTTGAACTCTCTCAGCTATCAGAATGAACACAGGTTTTATTTTAATTTCATTTAGCTTATTTTTTACATTAAAATGGTGTAATTTCTAGCACATCACACTGCAATGCAACCATATGATCTAATCTGCTTCCTGAAGTATAAATATAACTCTAAGTGCATGTGCAATGGGAAGTCCTACTCTGACCTCAGACAAAATGACAGAAATTAGATCATAATTATATAATGTATTTTTAAAAGTTCATATATGGAAGTAATTAAAACAAAAAATGTAGATATAAGTAGTGACAACAACTCATTGCTCTTGGTGTTAAGCCTCTTTGCTACATATTGCCCATATCACTTATTTTCAGGTTTTGGATTATTTTCTAAGCATATCTATTGCCTATTAGGGTGAATAGAGTTCAACTTCTCTTGGTACACATTCATTTGTTGTAATGTGGGGTTTATATACTAAATAAAGATCATCAATCAGCCAATTTGTGTATGTGGTCTCTAAGTGTATCTTTCTGAAGGTCCCTTGCTCTCAGAGAAGAGCAAAGCTTCTTTAGAATTACACCCAGGGTAATCTTTCTAATAAGGTTAGTGATTTGCAACTTTTAAAATTATGAACTGCTATTAATTTGAGTTTCTAATACACTTCTCCTAAAAGTATTACATTAGTGTTCAATAAATTGAATGTAAATATTTTGCTTTGTATATGAACAAACTGGTCATTCCCTTTGCAAAAACTGGAGGTACTCTAGGCTATTCTAAAATAAAAAATGGTCAGTTGGTTAAGAGTCCAAGTCTTGATTTCGGCTCAGGTCATAATCTCATGGTTTGTGAGTTCGAGCCCCACACTGGGTTCTGCACTGATGGTGTGGAGCCTGCTTGAGATTCTGTCTCTCCTTCTCTCTGCCCCTCCCCAGCTTGTGCACTCTCTTTCTCTCTCTCAA